GTTTCATTAGATTGGTTTTGATAAAAGAGTTAGCACAAAGGATCACATATAAAGTGTGATAGACTTCAAATAAGACCCAAAACTCAAGCACTTTCAAAGAGTTGACTATTCTTCTTCAGGAGAACAAAGGGAATAGTCAACTTTGAAAGTGCTTGAGTTTTGGGTCTTATTTTAAGTCTATCACACTTTATATGTGATCCTTTGTGCTAACTCTTTTATCAAAACCAATCTAATGAAACTTATGTTAATTTTTATGGAACTCAAATAACTATAGATAATAATATTAGCAATAAAATTATTCAAAAACCATAACAGTAGAACGTTTTATCTTTCCAAAGTCGGTGGACTGTATTTCAAATCAGTGGGCCCCCAAACTCGAGGTAAGGCCTGATGAAAGTTAGTTCATTGTATGATCAATCTCCCGAAGAAGTAAAGCCAAAAATCTTCCAGTGGAGTACTGCAACCTGAAGCCTGTGGAAATGTGCTAATAGAACATATAACCTCTGAAGTGGTAATGCAGAATTCAGAATGCAAAATGAATAACCAAACACAAAATAAAAGGTTTGTTGTAATGAAATAATAAGTTCCATAACTGGGTAGAAAATAATTACACTTCGGAATAACTCAACAAGATACAAATATCACTACTGTATAATAAAGATTAAACTTATTGAGAGAAATTAATATAAATATATGAAAAAAAATTTAAATAAAACAATTGAATAGAACACAAACTAAATGTTATAACAAGAGTACTGCCAAACAAAAAATTATAGTTAAAAGAATTGAATAAAGGGAGTCACATGTGTCAAGGGTGTTTTCGTGCTCTTATTGGTGGAGGGTTGTTGCATTATAATTTGCATACAAGACATATTGGTATTAGTCAATTCCAGATGGGTGGGAGTTTCAAGGCTTGTGGCATGCATAAAACATATTTTTCCATATAGAGGGCAACATTGAATGAGAATAGCTATTCATGTGAGAAGAGGTAATGTACCATATTGGAATTTTCTATATATATACAGACACATGCATGTAGGTTTTAAAAGTAAAGCATTAGCCAAATAATGTGTTATAGTTACCCATTATTATACATCATTCTGCACTGGTATAACATGAATTTTCTCATTGGAAGGATTGCTGTAAAGTATAACACACCATGTGAAGTTGAAAAGCAATATTTTTCACTGTTAGATCAGGTGATACCTTGATGATATACGGTATTATCCCCATATTTTTCTATTGGAGTAGCCAACAGTGACATGGGTGGCACAATGTTCTGAAACAGCACTGTAGAACTGTGTACATCGTGTTATGTTTTCTGTTTGGAGCAAGCTCTTCATAAGGAATGCGAGTTCTCAAAAAGATATATCTAGTAAAAGTCATCTTTCATTCTGCGTCCTTTCATTTTGTTTGTTTCAAGGATTGAATAAAGATTATTTTTTAGCTGTTCACATCATATTTAGTCCATTTCTTCAAACTCAGTCAAAAAATAATTACAGCAGTTAAAGTAGTACAATAATCTGTATGAATTTTTTTATAGAGCTTTATTAGTTATTATCTATTTAAAACAACAGTTTTAACACTAAAACAAAAACTTGGTGAGTTAAAATACCACATTCTATTTGTTGCTTTAAAACAAAATTATTTTCAGTCCTAGGTTTATTGTATTTGAATGTTTTCTGTCAGAGGATTAATTGTTTACATACTGTAACTGACTTTCATGAAAAAAAAAAAATCTTATGCAAATATCATGATAATAATTATGCAAGAATTTTTGAAAGATTTCAAACTCATTTCAGTGCCAATTTCAAGACACTAGTTACTTATAAGCAATTTTTTGTTACATCACATATAAACATTCTTGACAATATGTCCTATTTGATGTAATTAGAAAGCTTGTTTAATGAGAATTTAAGTTTCATATCTCTGTTGGAAGCTAAGTATTTTCATGAATATTAAGTACAATAGTTTTATATAGAGATAATTTTCATAAAACTCTGTGAAGTTAATCAAATTCACTTCCGAAAAATTGAATGTGATAGAAAAAAAAAAAAAAGACATTACCTTTGCCAGGTATTTGCGAGATTTACTTTCATTTTGGTGTCGGCAAGCATGAAGGTAGCAGGTCAAAGCTGAAACTCCAAGACTGATTTGACGGCTATTGAAACAATTCAAGACAACAACAGTGAAGTTAGTGTCAAGAGGTCCTGGATAAGAAACAGTCTTCAACAAAACTTGTATTTCACAATATGCATGATTAAAAGCACGAATAAAACTTAAACCAAACTAGAATTTTCAAAGCAAGGTAACAAACTATTGATCACATTTAATATATTTTAACTGTTAAAACTTATTTTTATTGTTGTAAAAAACAAATTTCTTTGTTTTGAACAGAAGTTACAGTTTTAAGTAACAAGTAAGTAAAATATTTTCTTCTTTTATAAACTGAAATATGTTGTATCTAGTATTTTTTGTTATAATGGATATTTGAAGTGAAGTAAAAATCACAATCATAATATTCAGTGTAAACATGATATTGTTTTAGAAGCTTCTGTGATTTTCTATGCTTTCATGTAGTGTAATTCTGCTGAGTATTGAGGCAAAAAAAAAGTTATTGAATAATTAATGAAATTATGCACCATTATCAATAACATGAAACAAATTCAAATACGTGTGTGTTAAAGACAATAGTCTTAATATAAATACAAGTAAATCTGCATGTTATTGCATTAAATGATTAACTTGGTCAAAGTACGTATTTGTTTTATAACAAAATTTAATACTTGTTTCATATCTTTCTATACTAACTGTGTAACTACATAAAAGGTAATTTCCATTTACAATAATATAAAATTTTAAATTTCTGAAGACTAAAAAACTATGATTTAATAACTAAGCTTGAGGAAATAACTATTAGTAAATATTTAACAGTGCAATAGTAACAAGGCAAAAACATTGTATATAAAAAATAAAAATCCAAAAGACAAAAGTACTTACGTTTGAGATTATGTACAACATATTTCTTTAATGAAGCACAGTATATTTTCTTAAATTACATTAAAAATCATCTTTATTTTTTAACTTTTTGGACAGGAGGAATCTTAATATAAATTTACTAAAATAGTTTCTAGTTTCTGCTTAAACAGTTTTTACAATATATGAACAATTTTTAAGATTGTAAAATTTCCAAAATTTTTATGTGAGACACTGTTTTGAAAAAAACATTAAAATACTGCATTTCCTGATAAAATTCCAATTTTTTTTTTATTGATCAGAAAGTTATATTATACGTCCAGACAGTTTCAACTTGATTGATATTCATTATTAATATATTTATTTTGATACTTTATTTTGCCAATGGCTATAAATCATAAAAAATGGCAAAAATTTAAAAAGGTTTAAAACAGAGTTAGATTTACTATTTTTACTAAACATTTTGCACTAGACACCTGAAAGGTGCACACTGGTAATGATAGGGTTAAGTCTGTAATACATTATTGAAATAATGGAAGAAGAAAGATTTCAAGTTACATTCCAGTAAAAAGAAAAGGGATCCTGAATAGAAACAAGCAGTCTTCAAAAGTTATTTATTTACAGAAAAACTGTAATAACCAATGTGGCTGTTATGCAAAACTTCACTTGGGGGAGAGAAAAGTAGAGAAAATAGAATGAGAAGCATAAGCATGCTTCTTGAAACAATAAATTCAAGGAATTATCTACGCTTTACCAAACTTTTGCATTCTTTAGAAAATCTTTTCAAATAGAGAAACCTTTTTCTTTACTAAAGGTATCCAGTATTTGTTTAACATGGAATCTAAGTTCACTTGATAAAAGTAGATATGTGTCTTTTGCATTAGCTGAAGGTTACCAGAGCTGGTAAAATTGAAACACAATTTATGTTAAGTGTTTGAGTTTTCTTTAGGAAATTTTACCTTTTTAAAGCCTACCAGGTCATCTGGAGGTATAAATAAAAAATCTGTGCTCTTAAAAAGTTTGTTGTTTCCTTATACTTCTACAAAGCCAAGTTTTCACAATTATAGCCACAAACCTATGCATCTCATATTATCTGGTGATTACAGTAGTCTTTTCACTGTAGAATTGCAAAACATTTTGGTTTCCTTTTTCTATACACATTCAAACTTCAAAACTAGTCTCATTAATTATACTATCTTAGAATTGTTCAGTTGAGCAAAATATTTGGTGATATCTATCATAATGTTCCTCTCCATCAGTATGATAGAAGTATAATTACAAGAAACTTCATTTCTTTAGCAGATCTGCAGCAGTTCTGTGGGACTATCACAGGTCTTTGGTTTCTCTGAAAAGGCTATAACACCTATCCCATTTTAATTGTGAAAGAAAACAAGTAGCACACCTTTCACCATAAAAATGTTAATAAATCCCCCCCCCCCCATGAAGTTTGTTAGCACCATACCCAAGTCCCCATGAATTTCTTGCCATCACAGGAACATTACAAATTACATGTAAACATGGAGGTGAATAGAACTTTTTACTCAAATGTTATATAACCAATTCAATTTACCTTTTATCATAAATAGTATTCTGTTGAATGCCAACCCAATGTACACAATCATAATGCCTTTCCAAACATGAAATTTTTGAAGCTTCTGTTTATTATTTAACACTCATTCTTTTTCAAAACTAATAACTTTTTCATCAGAATATAGTATTACATGAGTCTTAAACTTTTTTTATTTAAACTACATTTCACTTTATGCAAATAGTCTTTAGATTTAACACACGATCTCTCCCCACAACTAGATAAGAAATACTTTTTGGGGGTGGCAGGGCAAGGAACAAGAAATTTTGGTAGTTGTTTCTTGGAGGAATTGCATACACCGTTTAAAATACAAAATCTATTGTATCTAATTATGCAATCCATATGATGGTAATGTATTTCAGTAAAGAGTTGTGAGCAGTCAAAGAGACACAGGGTATTGGAATGGCCACCACCACCTTACCACCAGCAACAGTCACACAAATGAATTGATTATCCTTTTTCTGATTCTCAAATCAAATTATTTGACCCTTCTTCATTGTTTGCTTGAGGTTAGACACTTGTTCTTGATCTTGTGATCTGGCAGAAGGCTGCTACTACTACTGCTATCACTACTATTCTTGTCAGAATCAAATCTATTTTTGGGCTAGATAGATGGATTTGTCTCAATAATGGTTTTCAAAAAAGTCCATTGTGATCATTTCCACAGCAGTTGCATAGTTGCAAGTCAAACACATTAGAACCTTGAACATGCAGGTAATAAAGGTGATAAATGGTAACATGTCAATAAGTAGAAAAAGTTAAAATCATGATCAGTAGGGCTTGGATCTATCTTCTAAAGATTTACTGGGCTCTGGTCTGAAAGACAGAGCAACAATGGGGTGAAGAAGAATAAGGCTCATGCAGCTGACTCTTTGGTTACACAAGAAGTACTGTTATTAGCTATGGGGTCTCTGCTGATGTGGTCAGTCATAACTCAGTCAATTTTTGTTCATTTGGAAAATGTATATTGTAATCAGCTTATTTCATTGTATGCTACATTTTTTAATAGTTTAATCAAAATTGAATTAATCCTGGATTTTTTACATCAGTAATTGATAATAAATGCATTTCTGTGAATAGACTAAATTACAGAAACATCTACCAATTGTGAAATGTAGAATTATTAATACTCATCTGAAATGTTTATTATAATTGTGAGAAGTGATGTGCACAATCATCATTTATATGGAAAATTAGTTGTTTTCTGTCCTTAACCAAGTTTTTGATTAATATTCTTATGAGTGATTTATAACGATCAACTATAACAAACAAACAAGAAATGTAACCTAACCTGCCTATGTTGCCACTCCTAAGATCAAATGTATAATATTTAATATCAAAGTATGTTAATCTGAATATATTAGTTCAAGTGATGAATGTTCACAGATGCAGTAAGACTGCTGCAATTTGAATGCTAGGTTTGCAAAAAGTAATGTAAATTTTAGTACAATAATTTACTTTAAAGTTTATCAAAATGTGCCTGCAGACATAAGGAGTGAACAATGAGCCAACACACCTATTACCTATTAACTTTTTATCAGAGCAAGCTACCTACTTAGAGTGAAACTAGAAAAACAATCTCATAATGAGTATAGCTAATTTAATATACTTTATTTATTTTCTTACTTATAAAGATTATAATGCATTGTTTCTATGTTTGCCTTACATTGATCATTAACCTAACTCAGACCCTCAGAAGGCCACTGCAAAAATAAAAGTTCCTTTTTTCTCAATGTATAAACCAAACTATTGTTTCAGAAATACAAATATTTTATACTATGTTAATAATAAATGTGTATTTATACACCCATCTGTAAAAATCCCATTAAAAAATTAATTATTTTATGTGCAATGCAAGTTGAAAAATGTTAATAATAAAGTCCTGATCTGTTTGTATAGTGATGGTAATATGATTGCAGTATTGAAAATTATGCAGCCACAAGTTTTGGTTAAAACTATAGATTTACCTTCACATTTATAAATTTCTAGCTTATTTTGAGCAAAAATATAGAATGAGAATGAAATTAAAGGCTTTTAGTTTTAACGGTTTTGCTTGGAGGTCTAACTTTTTTGTGATATTTTGAATCATCATTATACAGTTATTGTATCCAATTCTTCTTGTTTTATTTGTAGTTCACAAGAAACTAGTGACTAATGCCAGTAGTTTTCTGTTGAATTATGGTTTAATGCAGTGTTTCTTAACCTATTTTTGCTCATGGCCCCCCTTCTGAGTTTGATTTACCTCTGTGACCCCACCCTTCGTAGATGCTGTTACTTAGGAAAAAAAAGTAACTTTATTTCCACATTGTTGATTTATAATATATTTATAACATTATAATATTATTTTTACAATATCATATTGTTTCTAAATATTTTGTTTATAACATACTGTTTAATTATATAAATAAAAATATTCTGTCAATCGTTGACATTTTATTCAGTGTGACCCTTAAGCCTGACGAACACTTGAAAGTTTTTGAATGTCTGGTTGCAGTGTGGTCAGTGATAAACGAAGATCACCTCTCTTCAAAATATGAAGGAGGTTATGTATTTTTCATAGCAAATAAGTCACTCGACTAAAACCAGATAAGATGTGG